AAAATTCATTTAAATCAGAACATCTAAATATCTCTTTCAATTGTAAAAACACAAAAAATATTTTTTATGCAATTCGAATGGTATTTTCAAAAATTAAAATTAATTTCTTGATATCATTCAAATTACATAAAATATAATTATCATAAATAAAAAAGATATTTAGTGGACTACTCTATATATCAACAATATTTATAATTCAATTTATTATATTTTTTATAATATATTTTTTGTTTGTATTATTTATATAATTTCAATAATTTTTATATTGTAAAAAATATTTTATTATAAGTTTATAATATTGTTGTGAATACATACTTATAAACATTATTGAATATTTTTTCGAATTTAGTGACTTTTCAATCAAATTTTATTAACTTATTCATATATTTAGACATATGTGACAAAATTAAAATCATGATTAAAGAAAAAAAAATATAAAAACAACGGTGCTAAGTACAATTTCTTAAGAAAAAGAGACATATCAAAATACTTTTCAACTTAGATATATCTCTTTAGAACTCACAATAAAATTATGAAACATATCAATATTTGGGAAAAAATTCTGTAAATCAAAATCTGTAAAAATAATAATTGACACATAATAGAAATCAATTGGTTTAAAACCATAATGAAATACTGTGACAATTCTAGATAATAAAATCTATATCATGAATATCCTATGTTTGATCAATTTAATTACTTGAGATTTAATAGCAAAAATTATGTAATGGATCATATTGATGAGAAATATAATGTAAAATATATCAACCATGGAAGGAAATTGATTCAATCTTTATTTGAAATAGTATAATTATTAATAATCTTATTTATTATATTGAAGTAAAAAACAGTAAATTGTTTTGTTATTTGAAAAATAACAAAATATTATTTGTTGAAAAAAAATTGCTTACAAATTAAATTTATTAAATCAATAATGATCCAAAACATATAGAAAAAATAATAAACAATTTTTAAATGAAAAAGAAAATTAAAATAATCGGTGAAATCCGACTTAAATAAATTAAGATATTTTGAATTGATATAGATTCATGATATTTTATTGATTTACGTATATTTTTAATAAAATCTAATGTATTATAGTTATTAAAACAAAAGATAGAATGACAAAATACTATAAAAATAAAATAATATTTAATCTTATTAAAAATAATATTTTATCAAAAATACATATATTATTTATAAGAATGTATTCACAAAACATAAAAATTATGTTAATTAGTTTAAAGTCATTGTAATCTTGTTTAAAATTTAAATTAATTTAAATTTTCTTTTCATTTCTTAAATATATATGATTACTTTGAAAAAATTATGATAAAAATTAATTAATAAATTAATTTTTTTTAATTAATTTATGTTTTTTATCCTTTCTATATGATATAACGATCAATAGAATTTATCTAATTAATAGAAAATGTTTTTAATGTATATGTCTGCCATTATAAACAAATCCAATATATTCATCTCTAAAGTAAAACGATTTTTTTAAGAGATTAAGTTAGTAGAAGAAAAAGAAATATTTTTGGAATGCTGTTAACCAAAATGAAAAGTAAAACCATCCGTGCGGAATTGATAACCATCATGTTGACTAAAGAATGTTTGAAATACTACATTTGGATCAACATCTGTAAAAAAAAATTTTAATTATACATTTTATATATAAAAATATATAAGCTAGACTAACCTTGATATCCCCCATCAGTATCATCAATATCATGTCCACTATCATAGCGCGATCGTTTTTTAGGATCAGAAAGAATTCCATAGGCTTCTCCGACTTCTTTAAATTTTTTTTCTTGTTCTTTTTTTTCTCCTTCCGTTGCATTAGGATGTCGATCTATACATTACATAAAGACAAATTAATATAATTAAGCTAAATTAAATGAAAATATATTTTCAAACTTACCAGGATGATGTACCATTGCACGTTTCCTATATGCTTTTTTAATATCATCAGTAGATGCATTTTTATCTATTCCTAAAATCTCATAATAATCTTTTCTTTTTGATTTTTTTTAATGCCATTTTGGCTTCCATTAACAATCGTTTGTTATCTGTCAATTAATATTGAACAATTTATTATGTAAATAATTTATTTAAAAATATTTTTATATTTACCCCAACTTTTATCCATTTTACAGGCTTTCTCAAGATCATGAACAGCTTTTTCATATTCTTTCAATTCCATATAAGAAGCTGCTCTTCTCTTGAGAGCTTTAAGATAATTTTTATCTAATTTCAATGCTTCTGTGCATTCTATTATTGACTCATTTAATCGAGATAACTAAAATAGCAAAATATTATAATTATAAATATAAATCCATAAGTAAATTTATTATCTAATAAAATTTAACAAGAAATGAAGATGCAATACCTTTGCTGCCACTGTTGCTTTATTAAAATGAAGTTTTGCATTTGTTACAATATTTTGAGGATCTATAGTCAAGGCTTCAGTATATAATTTATATGCTTTTTGATATTGTTCTTTTTCATAAGCAGCATTTCCTTCTTCTTTTTTCTTTTTTAAATTTTTAGCTCGTTTATATATTTCTAATGCTTTAGCATGATCTGGAGCCAATCTAAGTACTTGTTGAAAATGTGTAAAAGCTTTATCAATATTATCTTGGAAATATAGACACATAGCACGAACATATATAGCATCTGCATTTTGTTTATCAACATGCAAAATATCACTAAAATATTAATATAGAATAATATAAAATATTATTTTAAATTTATGAATAAAAGAAAAATATATATATACTTTGCTATCTCTTGTGCTTCTTGGTACCTTCCCAAAAATACTAAACATTCTGCTTTGATTAATTTAAAACTTGTACAACGAGTACTCACATCACAACAACGATCCATACAATATACAACCTATATTATATAATTTTAATTACTATTAGAGTTATATATTATTTTATTTAAGAATAGAATTACAAACCTTACGATAATCCTTAGCAGCATATGCAATATCAGCATCTTTAAGAAACTTTTTCACATATTCTAAGTCTTTTTTTTCTGTGGTAATTCCTTTATTTTCAGGATCAATTTCTAATAACTTAGATAAAGTAGTTTCAGCTTGAATAATATCTCCCAAAATCAGACAACATTTTATAATTCTTACATATGCCTAAACATAAATGAATTGAATTAAAAGAATGTTTATTTCTTTTCTTAAATATATTTTTTAAATATACTTTTATATGCATAAATAATATACTTTGTATAGTTTTTCATCCAATTCAATACATTTTTTTGCATCATCCAAAGCATAAGGATATTTATCAAGCATCATATAACATGCAGCTCTATTTGCATAATGCAATGGTTTATTTGGATATAATTCTAAAACAACATTCATTTTATTAATGTTATAAAATCATGAAATTGAAGTAAGATTCTTAATTTAATAAATATACTTTACCAATAAGTTCACTATATTCTTTTAATGCTTCTTTATATTGTTTTCCAACATAAAGTTCTTTAGCAGTTTGCATTTTTGCACACCTAGAACAACTAGGTATTTATTTTAATTCTGTGTTGAATGCTTTGATGATGTTATTATTAATCAACTTAAATGAAAATTATATAAATTTTTACTAAACTAATTATGTAATTTTATAAATTATTGAAAACAAAGACTTAGTATAAAAGTTTTTATTAAAAACTTTAAAAAATATTTATAATAAAGATTTTCAAATAATTTTTAAGAAAAAGTAATATTTAAAAATTAAAAAATTAAAAAAAGAACAATTACGCAGCATTTAATGAATAAAATATAATATTATGTATTCTTATTTTGTACTTACTCTTTAAATTGTTCAATAGTAGACATTGTTGAATGTTTTGAAATATACTTGCGTATATCCCTACAAAATGTTCATATATAGCCGTTTTATATTTTTATCGAATTTACATCTTTGTAATAAAATAAATGTTAATATTAAGAGTATACTTCCTTTTAACCGGCTCCTACGGAATCGGACTCTTGGTCGAATAAACGAATGGTCAGTTAATCGAACAATATCATTTGTAGGTTGTAAACAAAATAAGTAAATAAATATATATAAATATACATATATATGATATATATATATGTATATGTATATCTACAATATTTCTCACTTACTTATAAAATGTAGATATAATATAATATAATATCGTCAATATCATATATGAACATATAAAGAAATAATAATTGCTATAGAAAAATCACAATCTGTTTCTATGGTGAACGATGTCCGATTAAAGTTGAGCCTGATAAAAAAAAGTGTACTGTACGTATTATTTCAATCGGTCTATTCCCTTCGCGGAACAGTCTTACTCCTTTTAAGACTACCAACAGAAGGATTGCATTTGTTATAATGATCCCAGGAAGTTAGTATAATACGTTCCACAATGCATCCTAAATAACTTTTCAAAAATACAAAAAAATATAAAATTAACTAATACTTGATAATAACAATTAGATATAAATAAATTAACACTATTAATTAGTTATAATTGTATTTATTAAAAAAAAATTATATTTTTTCTATTATTTTATTACTTATTATTATATTATTAATTGAAAATTATTTCTATAAAAATGTAATTAATTAAGATTTTTATTAATTAACAATTTTAATTAATAAGTAATATAAAAATATTTTAGAACAATTTTACATGTTACATGTTACATATTTTTTTCAAAAATTGTAATTTTTAAATATTTCATAATTAATATTTATCAAATATAGTCATAGTCAATTTAGATAAAATAATTATTTTTCAAGAAAATAAATTATATATAATTATATATAAATAATTTTAATTTCATATCATTTATATTAATTTGAATAAAAAACATCTAAAAATATTTAAAATGTATATTTATCGTTCTTTTTTTGGAACACCTCTTATTCCATATATTATATTTTATAGCGTATCAGCCTTTACTATCATTTTCATTATAACCTCTAGTAATTTTATACCTTGAAAGGAAAAGTACGACTAATTGTGTAATTTGTAAGTTTAAATAAATAAATAAGTAAAATTAAAGAATTTTTAAATAATTCTTGTCAATAAAAATATGTTTGATAATAGTGAACATGAATCAAAATTGTGCACCATGTGTTTAAGAATCACCACATATACAGAAAAGCTTTTGCAATTACATATATAATTTATATTATAACATTATTTTATAAATTGTAAAATTTTATAAATGAATATATGCAAATATTTTTTATTATTTATATAAAATAAAAAAAATTTATATAAAAATAATAAAAAATAATATTATTTATTAATAATAAAACATTTTTTTATTAAATTTAAAATATTATATATTCATTAAATTATTTTTTCTGATGCAGTATTATTTTAAAATATGAGTCGTTTTTTCGCAACTGGATCAGATTCTGAATCTGATAGTGCTTCTGAGGAAGAACAGGTTCAAAGGGCTCCAACTACAGCTTTTACGGTAAATTTAAATGTTATTATTTTTATTTTTATTTCTTTTTATATTTTTTTTAAAGTTGCATTAATATAAAATAAAACTGTTTTAGTTCAGTGATGAAGAGGAAGAAACTAAAAGAGTTGTACGATCAACCAAAGAAAAAAGATATGAAGAGATTGCAAATCTTATCAAACTCATAAGAAATTACAAAAAGATCAAAGATATGAGTAGCATGTTGTCCAGTAAATATTTGTTTAATATTGAATAAAATAAAATAATATTCAATTAATTTGAATCATTTATATTGATATTTTAGGTTTTGAAGATTTAATGCGTGCTTATCAGAAAGCATTGCCTGTAATAGCAAAGGAAGAAGGTGGTCAAACTCCACGTTTTTACATTAGATGTTTAGTAGAAATGGAAGATTTTATCAATGAAGTATGGGAAGATCGTGAAGGTCGTAAAAATATGTCAAAAAATAATTCAAAATCATTGACCTCATTACGCCAAAAACTTCGTAAATATAATAAAGACTTTGAGGAAGATATAGCAAAATTCAGAGAAAATCCAGATCAAGATGATGATGAGGAGGAGGAGAAACGTGAATATAATATATATACTAATAATATATAATATAATTTACAAATACTTATATTTGATTAATATTTTTCTAAATAATATAATTGTTTAATTACATTCGTTTGATTAAAATTTTAGCTGAAGAAGTTGTAGAATTTGAGGATGAAGAAGATAGTACAGTTGCTTTTAAAAAAGCAGGATCAGAAGCAAGTGAACCAGATACTTCCAAATTTAAGGTTTATATATAATATAATTTTGATATTTTTTCTATTTTAATTAAATAAAATTATGATTTTACAGAAAAATGTAGCTGATGGAGAAGAAGGTAGTGAAAGTGAATCTGATTGGGGTAGTTCTTCGGATAGTGAAAGTACAAGTAGTGAAGATGAAGGCCAATATCAAAATATACGTGAACGATTTATCAAAAAGTATATATATATATATAATTAAATTAAAGCAATAAATAATTAATAAATATATATATATAATATTATATTAATATGATCATGTTTTTAAATAGAGTGACAGATAAAGAAGAAGAAGAAGATAAGGCAAAACGAAAAGAACAGCGAAAGGAACGGAAAGAAAAAGAACGAAAAAAGAAAAAAGATGAAGATGATGAAGAAGGTGAATGGGAAACTGTTAAAGGCGGTGTAGCTATTCCATCTGAAAAACCGAAAATGTTTGCAAAGGATGCAGAAATTAATGTGGCTGCTGTTTTAAAAAAACTTTCTGAAATTATCGCGGCTCGCGGTAAAAAACGTACCGATCGTAGGGAACAAATTGAGCTGTTACATGAATTGCAATCCATAGCGGACACTCATAATCTTGGACCAGCAGTAGCAGTTAAAATTAAGTTCTCTATCGTATCTTCTATTTTCGATTACAATCCAAAAGTATCTGATGCAATGAAACCTGAATATTGGTCAAAGTTGGTACTATATTTCAGATTTCTAGAAAATATATAAAAAAGAAATTATCCTTATTTATATAGACTAATAAATTAATTATTTTTATATAGAATACTAGAACGTATTACGGAAATGCTTGATATGCTGTTGAATACAAAAGATATGGTAATAGCTGAAATAGTATCTGAAGATGCAGAAGAATATGAAACACCACCATATAAAATACATGGATGTGTATTAACATTAGTGGAACGTTTGGATGAAGAATTTACTAAATTATTAAAGGAATGTGATCCACACAGTAATGAATATGTAGAGAGGTACATATGTTTAAGTAAATTTAATAGAGAAATATATATCTAATATAAATTGAAAATATAGACAAAAATATTATTTATGATTTCTTTTTTAGGTTAAAAGATGAAAAACAAGTATCCACAATAATAGATAAAGTTCAGGAATACTTAGAAAGACAAGGAACAGTTTCTGAACTTTGTCGCGTATATTTACGTAAAATTGAACATCTTTATTATAAATTCGATCCAAACGTTCTTAAACAAAAAGAAGTAAATATATAATAATTTAAATTTTAAGGATAAAATTTTAAAAATATAAAAATTTTCAGGGAGAACTTGGTCTGGATGTTATAACATCTGTACAAGTTATGGAAAAGCTTTGTAAATATGTTTATGCACATGATGGAACAGATAGACTTAGAACTCGTGCAATTCTTTCCCATGTCTATCATCATGCTCTTCATGATAACTGGTTTCAAGCACGTGATCTTATTTTAATGTCTCATTTACAGGAAACTATTCAGCATTCTGATCCAGCTACGCAAGTTCGTATTTTTTATAATAAAATTGAATTTTATTTTATTTTTATTTATTATTTTTTCCAATTATAGATTTTATACAATAGAACTATTGCTCATTTGGGCTTATGTGCTTTCCGTCATGCGAATATTAAAGATGCCCATAATTGTTTAGTTGATTTAATGGTAACTGGTAAAGTGAAGGAACTTTTGGCACAAGGTCTTCTTCCTCAAAGACAACATGAACGCAGTAAAGAACAAGAAAAGATCGAAAAACAAAGGCAAATGCCATTCCATATGCACATTAATTTAGAACTGCTTGAATGTGTTTATCTAGTTTCTGCAATGCTCATTGAAATTCCATACATGGCTGCACATGAATTTGATGCAAGGAGAAGAATGATTTCCAAAACATTCTATCAACAATTAAGATCTAGTGAACGTCAATCATTAGTTGGACCACCAGAATCTATGAGAGAACATGTTGTCGCGGCAGCAAAAGCAATGCGCAATGGAAATTGGTTGGCTTGTAATAATTTTATTATTAATGAAAAAATGAATGCTAAAGTTTGGGATCTCTTTTATCAAGCGGACAAAGTTCGTGATATGCTCACAAGATTGAACAAAGAAGAGGCTTTGAGAACATATTTATTCACGTATTCTCATGTTTATGATTCAATCTCGATGCCGAAATTAGCAGAAATGTTTCAATTGAAGCGACCTGTTGTTCATTCCATAATAAGTAAAATGATCATTAATGAAGAACTTATGGCATCTTTGGATGATCCGACTGAAACTGTTGTAATGCATCGTAGTGAACCAAGTCGTTTACAATCATTAGCATTACAGCTTACTGATAAAGTAAACAATTTCGTAGATTCTAACGAACGAATTTTTGAAATGAAACAAGGTAGGCTATACAAATTTCTAATAGTTTTAAGAAATTATAAAATTATAGAATACTAATGATGTAAACACTTTAAATGGTAGGAAATTTCTTTTCAAGAGGAAATCAAGGGAACTTTCGTGACAGACAAAATTATAATCGACAAGGACAAGATTGGGGTCGTCAGAGACGTGATCGTGATCGAGATCGTAATCGAGAAGAAAATCGAAATTATTAAATCATTGATTATTTATGTGGGTGTTTAAGTGAATTATCATTGTATCATGTATACACTCATTTAAATAATGTTAAAAATAACAGTATATAAATAATTAATGTATATTCATACTTCCATATTTGCTACTATTTACATATAAGAAGATTCAATTTATCGTACAAAAATAAACAATAATAGTTATTACAGAATTTTAATTATCATCTTGAAGTGTTCATATTTCTTGTATTTTTTCAAATACTTTATTACCTGTTATTATATTATCCGATGTCAATACAAGTCGAATTCCAGTAGATCTTTCTATAAACCTACAAGCAGTTATTTCGGCATAAGTAATACCTCCAATAATACATATCACTACTATTTTTGGTAATAATGAACCACGTTGACCATTTATGGTGCAGTTAGATAAATTTGTTAATTCTTCGAGATTTTTGGAATCTCTTTCTTGATTTATCACAGTATTTAATATTTGAGCCTATAGAAATGTAAATTTTATTTTT